TATAACAGAGATTGCAAGAAGTAAAGAGCAATTGTTAGAGATCTTAGAATAGCTAAAAAGTTCTTTAAAATAAACAATATAAAGATAAATGAATCAAAACCAAAACTAATAATAATAAACACAAAAGTTGAAAAAAAGAAAGAGCAGTAATATATAGAAAAAATAAGATAATAGAAGAACCAAGATATAAAATAGTTTGTTCATTAGAAATATGGTTAAACAACAAAATATGAGAGATAAAAGTAAAGAAGAAGACAAAAAGAATAGTAAACCAAATGATAAGAGATCTAAAATACAAAAAAATAATAATGAGTTAGATTGTATATATAAATAATATAGTAATAATACTCAAACTAAGCTATATGTTACAACTAACGAAAATGTTAGACAGAAGCTTAAATGAAATATATCAACTAATAATAAGTCTAGCAAAACAAAAAAGCAGCCTGCAACAAATAGTAAAAAACTATGTAATAGAGTATAAGAATCTTGGCAGCTGTAAAAAATTGTAACAAGAATTAACAATAAAGCAAATAAGTAGTTTCTTAGCAAAACTGAACAGACAAGATAGTCTTGGACAGCTAATGAGGCTAAAAATAACACAAGGCTATCAAAGAGCAGATTTAGCAGAAGACATATGAAAGACAAAGAAGTGACCAGAAATTGAAACATATTTAAGGAATAATTTAGTATGTCTTACAATACTTAAGGCAAAAAAACTTAAAATAAATATTAGAACAAAAAGTGAATTATAAACAATGTTTGAATATGGTACTAAAATACAAGAACTAGTAGATATATAATTGTGAAAAAAAGAAGCAGTTAAAGTAAATGAAACAGGTCTAATATATCTAAACCAACTACTTGATACAAGAGAAGAAATATTAATTATATGACAGCAACTAAAAAACTATCAAGACTAATCAAATAAAGAGAAAAAAGCAGAATGGTTCAAAGCAATTGAATTAAAAGTGTTTAGTAGTCCAAAAAGTAAAGTAGTACAAAAATACTTTAGAACAAATGAATAGAATACTCAGACAATACAAGTCAAATGAGAATATATATCAAAAGATAGAAGAAGAAAAAAATAAATAGTATATAATATATAAAATCATAGACAGCTTAGAAAGATAATTAAAAAGAAAAAAAAAAGTATTAATAGAATATTGGCAAATGAAGTACAAGAAAAATGAAGTAGCAACTAAGATCAACAGATGTAAAGAGTAATAAAAAAAGAAGAACAGTTAGAAAATAGTTGGCAACAATAGATAAGAATAAATAAAAACATTAATGTAATTCCAGATAAATTAATAAGAAAAGACAGCAACTAAATTAAGATAGTAATAGACTAAATAACAAACAAGATGAAGATAAACAAACCAGAAACAAGTAAATGCAAGTTAAAAGATCTTATAATAATAAAAGAACTAGAAATAGAGATTGTTAAATAACAAAAACTAAAAGAAGGCATCAGTTAAGAAATAACAAAAGTTCTGAAAAAAAAACATTATGAAAGACAAGAACAAATATACAATATATACTAATAATGTAACCAATATAAAAAATAGTAAAGAACTAGTATTTAAGAATAATATGGATATAAAATAGGTTCAAACAAATAAAATACAAAAATGGTCAGAAGAAAAGGTAGTACTTAGACTAAAAGGATGACAAACATTGATGATAGCAGAGTTGGTGGCAATTTGAGTAGTAATTTTAATGATACCTAGAGAGAAGCAAATAAAGATATATATTGATAGTAATGCTGCAATAAGAAACATTAGTAGAGATTTGAAACAAGTTGACAGAAACAAGATTATGAAAAAGAAGAATGCAATATGGATAATAAAGATTAAAGACTTTATTAAGATGAAAACCATTCAAATAGATTTAATAAAATAAAAGTTATAGTAAAAATAAATAGAATGATAAAGCTAATAGTTTAGCAAAGAAGAGAATGATGAGTAAGAAAACAATATAGATCGAAAAAGTTAGTTGTAAAGAAATAAAGTACTGTCTAAAGTAGGAAAACAGATGAACTAATATATCAGCAAAACTGCTTTGCAAGTTAGTAATGAATACAAAACTAGGAGCAGAATAAAAAAAAATGAGAGCAGTTAAAGATTTAGAGTCAGAAACAAAAATTACAATTTATAATTGAACTTGTTTTTAGAAAAGACTAAAGATAACTAAAAAAATATATTATATAATAAAAAAAAATAACTTTATACAGATCAAATGAATGAATAAAGGATGAATAATAGATAAATAACAGAAAAAAAAATGCCATTATTCTACCTTATATCTGCTAAATAATGACAGTATAACAGCAGCATAATAGCAGAATAATAGTAAAATAATAGAAGATTTGTCAATATAAATAACATAATAGTAATATAATAACAAAATAATAGAACAATTCTATTATTTTATTTTTAATTACAAAGACTAAAAGTAAAATAATAGAACTGTTCTATTATTTTGCTATTATATTACTATTATATTATTCATATTGATAAACCTTCTGTTATTTTACTATTATTCTGTTGTTATGCTACTATTATATTGCCATTATTTGGCAAATATAGGGTAGAATAATAGCAGTTTTTTTTTCTGTTATTTATCTATTATTTACTTTTTATTCATTTGTACAACCTGTGTTAGAAATGTATTTATTAAATACATAATAGATAAACTTGCAATTTTAAAAGAACTCAACAGAAGAAGACCAGATATATATACAACAGTGGAATGCCAAGTATGCCAAGATAAAATAAAAGAGACACAAGCATACTTAGTAATATGCAAGAGGCAAAGAAGTTTCTGAAAAAGAATTCAAAAAATGATCATAGTGATAGTATAAAAGAAATTGAAAAAAAAGAACAAATTCAGATTCCTTATATGTGTTATATATAATGCTCTTTAGAAAAACAAAAATGAAAAAAATAAAAATAAGAGAAATACTAATAAGAAACCTAATCCTAAAAGAAACATAAGACAAACTAACACAACTTCTAAACACAAAATCAAAATAATAGTTTGTGAACACAATACTGATAATAGTTTGAAACATATTTTATGAACAAGTATGAAGAATATATTGTGAAAAAATTAATAAATAAGAAAAAAAAATTAGAATAATAGGTAAAATCAAAAAGAAAAAAAGTGTAAAGCTAAAGAAACCAAGAAAAAAAGAAAAAACAAATCAGAAAAAAATAGAAAAAAAAAAAGAATTAAAAAAAAAGAAAGTAAGTTGAGAAAGAAGTAACAAAAATAATGTTAAGGCTTGTCATGAAAGAGAGAAGACCCTTTTATTATAAACTTTAAACAGTCAGACAAGCAGCTTACTTTTGCTCGAAGTAATGCAGCAGGTTGCACTTAGGTACCATTAAGATGGTCAGGTAATACTAGACTTAGATATTAGAGATATTTATATAATTACAAATGTAATTCCAAAATCTTAATAAGGTACTAGCATGACTGCTTATAAAATAAATAAAAAAAATAATAATTAAAATACAAAAAAATGAGCAAAATACATAGATGCTATCAACAGAAAAGAAGAAAGCCTCAGAATGAAGTCAAAACTAAGGTTCAGATACAAGAAAAGGTTCATAAAAAAGGCGCTTGAAAATAAGATAAAATTTTTTTAAAAAACAAAACAAGTAAGATTAAATTAATTTTTGGTAAAAAAACAATGATTAAAAAGCTTTCTAACTCAAAATTTCGCAGGTAAATTAGAAACTTCATAAATAAAACTGAGTTAGAACTTATTTTTTTAAAAAAATTCATTATCGCGATTTTACAATGACTAATTCCTTTTTTATTTTGTTTTGTTTTTTGATTTTTTATTTTTTTTCATGCAAAAAAAATAAAATAAAGTATAAGCATGGCCAACGGGAGTTTGCATTTATTATTGTAGATTTAATATTGAGATAATAACTGACCAACCCAGCTTAGCCGTATCAAAATTATCGACTCGGCTAAGCTTACAAGTTTTTAATCGACTATAATCACTGAGGCTTTTTAAGGGAAGCGACTTCTACTTGGATAATGCGACGACGCTAGTTAAGGAATTGCATTACAATCGAATATTTAATTTAAAATTCTAAAATATTTCAAACGAGTATAACACATGCCGATTTACCTGCTTCTTTAACTTTAATAATTTGAATCTATCAAAGTCTGTCAAGGCGGCTCTCCTCTTACGACTTTCCAGTTTCTTTGCCCATGCTGTCTGATTCCACTTCTCCAAGATGTTTTCTTTTTCAAGATATTTTTTTACTATAGATGAACGACCGCCTCTAGGAAAGCCTTTAATTACAAGATCAGTTAAAGTTAGGCGACGGAATGCATGAGAATGACGGGTAACACCGGTGGTTGGACCATCGATAAGGGCCTACAATTTTTAATAAATTTGATTAGAATTATAACATGTGTTGATTTGTAAATCTTTTAAGAAATGATAAGTAATGAAACATACCCTATTATGATCGACTATATCAACAATGACAGCGAGCTTGCCCGCATCTTCGCCGTAGTTAATGAAAACCACACGACCAACTTCGACAAAACGTTTGAAAGAACCTTTCTGATATGAGTCAAGCAATATTAAAAAAATTTTTACTGGTTACACTCAACTGCCTACTTTTAGATCTTCAACGTGAATTATAAAACACATGGATGAGCATAAAATATTAAACTACGACTTACCACCATAATGTAACGTCTAAGACGAAGTGGATTCGAAAGAGGGAGTATAAGTTTTCATGATGCTTATTTTTCAATGATAATTCGGTGTCGTTCATTGGCTAGACGTTTTTTCCAAGATCAGATTTTTGTCTGATGCATGATTGGTTGATTTATGTCGATCCAATAAAAATAACGGTAATGCAGATCGGCGTAAATTAGCCAATCACATGTGATTTTAATTTTGTATTTAGTGCTGGATATGCTAATTTTTATAGTCAAGAAACTCACTACATACTAACATTAGCAAAATGTCACTGGTTGCAACAAGAGAGCGTCGTGCGAATGCTGGCGCACGGTAAGTTGCTTTTATTTATTACATTTATCCATATATTATTTATTCTTCGTTTTTTTTATTATCTTTTGATACTTGCATTAATGTATGAACATTAATCGATTTGAAGAATGAGAGAACTTATTGAAAAAGAAATGGAATTAGAAGAAATGTTTAAAGAGGTACCTGAAGACGATGATTTTACGGTAACTAAAGGTAAGGTATAATTTTTGGTAGTTTAATTGATTATTCACAGCTCATTTTAATTGAATTTATAGAAGAGGAAGATTATTTTGATTCCGATTTTGATCAAAATAGTAGTGGACCAGAAGATAATGAAGATAATGACGATACAGCTGAATTGCAAATACTACTGGAAGAAAAACTGGAAAAGAAAGTAAGCAGTGGTTTAGTAATTATTTTCTTCGCAAAAAACTTCATCTTTTAAAGTAACGTATATATGTTTTAGAAATCGAAAAAATCAAGTTTACCATTTCCTAGTACAGCCTTGCGGTTAAGAAAAAAGGATACTGACAAAGTTCTAGTGGCACCTGAAACTACCGAAACTACCGAAACTATTCCAGATCAAGGCGTTAATGATGAATCCTCAAATATTATATCGGATAAGAAAAAAAAGGCATCCAACACAAGTAAAGTATTATTCTCAACAATTCGTAAAAACATAACACACACATATATATATAATTAAACATTTCATTTATAGCACCACTTTTGCACGGTGTGAGATCGTCATCTCGTTCTCTCACAGTTCAAAGTAAACAGATGTTAGCGGAGAAATTGAAGGAATATGAAAAAAAAAAGGTTCTATATTTGTATTTTAATGTTTTTTTTTACACCATTTGCTTACCATTTCCTATTTAATATAGGCAGCACATCCAAAACGTGAAAAAGTGATTGTTCAGCGCAAAACCCAAGAAGAATTACTTGCAGAAGCTAAAGAAACGGAGGAAAAAAATTTAGCATCTCTTCGTGCTTTTGAATTAAGAGAGGCTGAAAAAAAAATGTCTGCGAAGCAATCAAAAAAGATTGTCATGAATGGACCTTTTATTCGAGAGATATCATATATTGTTGGTGACAACAGAGAGACAAAAAGGCCCAAATTAATAACGGAAGTGCCAGCCGATGAAGAAAAAAGTAATATAACAGACACGAAAAATTTAGATTGTACCATGAACAATGTCGAAAATGAAAATCAAAATCAGGATAAAAGAGAAGTGCGGAATTTGCTTATATTTTCCCAATTCTCAAAGGTAGAGGAGGCAAAGCTATTTCAAGAATGGAAAAAGAAGCCACAAAGTAAGTTTTAGAAAGGTTTTTTAGCATATTTAAACAAACTAATTTTCATCATTTAAAATTTAACAGGGGCGAAAAAAGTATTATGCCCTTTTACTGGACTTATTGCAAAATATAAAGATTCTAAAACTGGTATACCATATGCAAATGTAGAAGCATATAGTAGAATTCAAAAATTATTGCAACATAAATATATTTGGTCAGAAGCCCATAGTGCGTATATAAATGATGTTAATCAAAGACCGGCTGAAGGTACACCCGATGGCTTCCAAGCTGTATGACATAATTCGAACATTTGGTATTTTAATATTTTATTGGTGAAATAACGTGTCGAAACGTTACTCAAAAGAAAAGGGTGAAATTCAATATTAATAAATATGAATTTCAAAAATATAAAAGCATCTTAATACTGCAATTCTAAACGTGCTTACGTGTGATTTAATTTCAGTTATTCGCGTAATCAACTGATCGGTTACAAATCAAAAATTAGTTGGCCGTTTGGTTGTTATTCTGGTTTAGTCATCAAGTAAATTCTATTTGAATCAGTCCTGTGTATCAAGAGGGATGCAGTTTATTGTATTATATAATAACAGCCGAAACCTTATTTCAAGATACAAACATATAATACAATCAAACCTTTCTATGGTCACATTTGCAAATTTTTAAAACTTAACTCTAATTTTAGCCTGACCCTAAAAACAATGGCCAGAATTACTTTGTTTGTGAAATGAGCTGTCGGTGAAATAAACTGTCAGCGGAATGAATTTGGTAAATTAGTTTCAGTGAACTAAGCTATTGGTGAAGTGATTGTAAGTGAAATAAACATATAAAATTTAACCTTTATATAACTTTCTATAAGTATGAAATTCTTAGAATCAAAGGTGTGATTATAGAGTAGTTTGACTATATATTAACTCAGAAATCAATAAATTGAATAGTTTTTTTTTTATTTTTAAACAAGTGGTCAATCACTTGATCAAATTGGTTAATGTTAATTTAAAATACAAGTATAGTTAGTCACATGTACAACTTAATTATTGTCTATTTAAGGATTTTATTCTAATGTTATTTATTAGATGTCATACTTAACCCTTACTTGTAGTTGTTTTATTTAAACTCTTTGGCATTCTTAATCTATATCTGTATAATACTAACTTTAAAACTAAGTTACTTTATTACTTTTTTAATATTAAAGATTATGCTTTATGGTAGTATTTTTTTTTTACTTTCACTAAAGTTAATGTTAATAGTGTCTACCATTTTTAGTGTTTTTTAATTATACAAAAATAAGCATACAACTAGTTATTCATTAACTTTTGGTTATTTATTTAAATATTTTATTCAAGAGTTTTATATTAGTTGTTATACTTGTAATTTATTAGAAGATTACCTATTTAAACATTTTGTTTTGTATTATTATTTTTTTTTTTGATGCTAAGATAAGGTTTTGCTTATATCTTTATTATTATTTTTTTTTTTTTTAAGATGTCCTCTTAGATTTTTTGATTTTATTAATACTTTTTAGTAATGTAATTCTATATAAAACTAATACAAAAGGGGTGTGGTAACCTAGTAAAGTGGTCAGGTTGTCAACCTTCAAGTGGCAGGTCTAGAGTTCAAATCCTATGGATGACGAATTTTGGAAAATAAGGTCTGTGTTATGGTAACTGTCTCTGTTGATCGGTTGGATTTGTGTATCTGTAACCTTTGTTGCACCATCTCGAATAGGAGCTTGGGACATCTATGCAAAGTGTAACATTACACCTACATAGAGGAATATTAATAACTGATGTTGTATAAGACTTCAGTGCAAACTCACAATAAGACCATCGGGCATAAAAAGCAAAGAAACCGAAGAGTCGGAAACCCACTTGGAAATCCTAAGTAAAAAGGTAGCATGGACTTTTGACAGTACTATTGAACCATCAGAAGCCTCCAAAAAAGGATTACTAGGACCTCAGATGGATTGAACAACAACATGTATAGAGGAGCACATACCAATCAGACTACTGAGTTCACCAGATAGGCCATCTGAATTGGTAGTTTGGGAAGTCTTGTGGGTCTTGTAGGTCCAGAAATAGGAGTGTGGAAGTTAGGAAAGGAAGGTATCGGGGTCCCTGTGAACTTTACAAGGGTATAGTGGTTTAATAATTAGCCTTAACTGCAAGTGATGGTCTAGGCCAGAGTGGTACTGGGTCAGCTGTAAGTATGGAATACGGAAGGCTCCAGTAGGCTTAATATAAAGTTAAATATAACTTAGTGACCATAGTATATTTGCAGCAATAGTTGCAGTTGATAGAGTAGGGGTAGATACAGGAACTAGAGTGTTTAAATAGAGAACCTACAGGCAGGTTCTAGATATGACAACTAGTATAAAACCTTTAGGCGGACTACTTAAAATAGACAATGACTAAAGTTGTACAAGTGGTTAGTTGTACACTCTTTCTATGATTGCCTCTGTAGCTGTTGTACACAATAGTTATATGCCGACTGATTATCAATAAAC